GCTGGGTCCTCGACGTCAACCATACTCGCAAGAGTCAGTGGCTTCCACGAGGAGAATTGCCACCACAAGAACCGAAACCAGGGTTCCACGAGAAGAAGGTTCTTCTCTGCTGTCGGTGGGATTCAGAAGGAATGTTCTACTATGAGCTCCTGCCAACCGGTCCCACCGTGACTGCCGTCGTCTACGCTGCTCGACTTCAGAAGTTGACTGGCGTCATTCAAAAAGAGCGTCCCAAACGCGACAAAGTTCTCCTTCTGCATGACAACGCTCGTCCACGTGTTGCGAAGATGAGTCGCCAGACGATTTCGGAACATGGGCTGGGAAGTTTTACCCCATCCAGCGTATTCTTCGGACTTGGCCCCTTCCGACTATCACTTGTTCCGGGCCCTCAAGAATCACCTGCGGGACTAAGCCTTCGACGATCGAGCACAGCTCGAAAATGATGTCGGTCGTTTCTTCGCTTCGCAATCGCCAGAGTTCTGGGCAAAGGGCATCGAGCAGTTACCCGTGCGTTGGGAACATGTCATAGACAGCAATGGTCATTACATTGTAGACTGAAATTGCATTTCAATAAAGTTATAAAATTTTGAAAAATTTGCGCAGGGTTGCAAGACTTTCTTTCCAACCCAATAATTTTTCAAATCCTAGCGAATCCGGCAGAAATAGAAAAGTAGTTGGCGGACACATAACGGACGTGATGTTGATTTAAGGAAAAATTCAACTTTTGTTGAGCGCGTTCTCACAGCACAGCATCTGGGTCAGTCGATTTTCCAAATATATTTTTTTCCGCCAGCAAAAAGGGAAACGTATAGTCTAATATATATAGACGATCGCGACTGACTGACTGACACCTATTCTAAACATGTTCTAGAGAAGTTAGAAATCTGAAACTTGGTGCACGTGTACCTACTGGGATGCAGAGTTCAGAAAAAATCCGACTTTGGAGGTACATGCTTTAGGGGTACACATTTTGGGGGGAGTAGTTTTTAAAGATATATATTGTGACGGATTAGGATGGCATCGGAGGCGTGACTGGACTGGGTTCGGTGGTGTAGTGGTAACATACCTGACCGGCAATCAGGAGGCCGGGATTCAATTCCCGCCCCTTCCTTGATGTTCTTTCGGCCTCTTATTCCTTACATGTCGCGTTACTCATTCCCACTCTGTAACCATTTTTTATTGCTTTAGTTCAACGGAGAGACATTGAAAGTTGAAACTTGGCATAGACATGCATACCGAGAGGATGGGTTCAGGAAAAATGAAAAATTTAGATCCATGGCCCTTGGGGGCATATTTTTAGTGGCTGACGTTTTCAAGTATTTTTTTTGCCCTAACGTATTTAGCTGGTCTGGAAAGATGAAACTTTGTGCATAACTACCTATTGGGATGCTGTATGTAGAAAAATGCAGACTTTGGAAGCAGATGCCCTGGGGGCACAATTTTCAAAGCGAGATGTTTTCAACTTATTTTTTTGCATCAGTGAAAGTGATGAACATGGAAAGCTGGAACTATGCATGTATGTGACTACTGAGACAAGGAGTTGAAGAAAAGTGTTAAGGCTCGATACATCCCCCTAAGGGAATTTTTTCGAGGGGCGGTGTTTAATTTGTCGTGGCGAATTTGACAGAAATGGAAAGGTGAGACTTGGCACACGTATAAGTGACATGCCATTGTTGAGTTGAGGAAGTATGCAGCTTTCATGGTGGATCCCCTCCTGTCATAACTTGTGGGTGCGTCGGCTTTTCCAAAAAAGGTTTTTTTTCCCACCAGCGAAAAGGGCAAACGTATAATGTTGAAACTTTGTCGGCATGTAGTTCTCTGAGGATTTATCTCGGTAAAAAAAAAACAGGTACTTCTCGGTTAAAACGCCTGAGGGCACACATATTGCAAAAAGGCGTCTTTTCTCGATCCTACAAAACTGAGGGCGCTAGAAAGTTTAAACTTGGCAAAGAAGAAACTGATGGATAGCTGAGTTCAGGAAAAATTATACTGTGGTGATACATGCCATACGGCCACACCTTTTCGGGGAACATATTTTCAAATATTGATAGTTCTCTTTCCTTCAATCAAAATAAACTTCGCTCAGAAGTTTCTGTTTAATGGCTAAGTACAGGAAAAATCCTAATTTTGAAATATGTCTCCTTCGCGTAGATTATTGGAGGGAAGTATTTCAAAATGTATTATCCACCCTGACAAAAGGGACACAAGGAAAGATTTGAAGTTAGGCACACATAAATTCATAGAAGTAATGAATTAGATATAAAAAATCAAGCCTTTCGCCCCCTTTATCTCATGTATTTCAATTGGGCCGTACTTTAAATACGTGCTTGCCATTTCGCAAAGAATAAAGGAATGAATGACTATTCGAGTTAATGGAGCGCCGAAGGCGCGACCATAGCTAGTTTGTTTGCCCGAAGGGCAAACAAACTAGCTAGTATTAATATAAAGATGCTTCTTGATATGTAAACAGGAAATTCAATTTCATAGAAAATTCTCGTCAATTTTATTTCACTGCTTGTGTGTCACAGAGATGACATTTCTGCAAACATGTTCACAATAGCATGAAGGTTTGCGTAAAATAGATGTAAAATAATAAAAAACTTAGTTAATTTGATGGAATATTGACTGAAGCATACTGCCTGTGATGTTCCTTAAAACTTGGAAAGGAATGCAACATGTTAATGGTGAGACTGCTTAAATAAAACTCGTTGCGCGTAAATTTAGTTATTAAATTCTTCTCTTTTTCAACATCAAAGTGAGTGGAATCGCATGTCCTCATAACTATCATAATCTGGACAATTATGAATTTCATGCACGTGCGCAGAACGTTTCAGACTTATTCAGTTTATTCTTTCGCCAAGGTGCATATGAACTTGAAATATTTTCCTCCGTGGTCACCTTGAAAAGCCACATTCAGTCAATAAGCTCTGGTACCATGGTCTGACAATCCTTACGTGGGTAGAGGGGGACTTTCCCCCCAACTCCTTGCAGGAATGACTGTGTGACCTAAAATCTAGGGAAAAACCGTATCGTGCCGGTTTTTCAGGAACTCATGGGCGGGTTATGTCTGCATCGTGTTTATGAGATAGGGAATGAAATCAAAGGAAGCTTTCGATTTACAGAGATGGGCAATGCAGCATGCACTTTAACATACGTGATTCCTTAAGGGTGCTCTTTGCTAACAGGCTGAAAGGAGTCCCGGAGACACTTGTGGACCTCAGGGGAGCCTGGAAAGAACGCTTGCGAGGACTCCTACCGAAGGGAAAGTGAGCGCTTCTTTCCCGGTTGTTCCACGTCGTCCTTCCACTCTATGGACAGTATTTTCTCCGCGATAAGTATAGCTGACATTTGGTCAATATCCATCTTCTCCGAGAGTTGGGGCCAACAGGCTACTAGAGTTTCTTCCGATATTGACGAGGTGCTATATTATATTAATACAAGAGACAAGGGAAGGAAAATGAATTCCTGCAAAAATTCTCCACTTCGTTGCACAGACGCATCTTATTTATGACCAAAGACTCAATATCTACAAGGTACTCTCATCAATTGTTAACACATACTTGTTAATAACGTAATTCCAATCGCACTAAGGGATGTGAAATTACGAGACTGGATCAGTCAAGTTTGGAGTTCATTGCAATTGTTCCACATGTACACTGTCCCACATGCGGAAAATAATTTGTTTTAAACGTTTACCATTATTATCGACACACTCGCTGCAACAAACAAACCCGTTGTTCATGGTTGCTCCCAAAGTTAGTCTGCTGATGCAATGATGCATTCACGAATATTATCCTTTAGTTCCTCGGTATTGCATGGTTTACTTCAATATTCACTATCTTTAATGAACCTCCACCAGAAAAAATCAAATGCAGTTTATTCTAGTGACCATGCAGGACTATGGATAGTCTGGTATATTTTCAATATACCAATTTTTTCGTACTTTTGAAGAAACGCAATCCCCAAAAGGGCGAAATAAATAAATAAAAATGACGGGGAAACGTATTTTAAAATGTGTTTATAATATATACCGAAAAGTAAAGAAAAGCTATAACTATAACTATAACCATTTAAAATAACCAGCATTTGAAATAACGTGTATTACAAGCACAGACGCATCTTATTTGCAGGTTTCATGTGATTGCCAGTTTATTATTATGATTTTAGCAGATATCGTTGACAACCTTGATCCCTTCTAATCAGATAATTCTTTGGTTTTATGGTGCTTTTCTTCGTCGCCTATTATACCCAATTAAATTCAGTAGCAGACGCACAATTGTGCATTTCTTAGTTTACTTCTCATCATTAAATTCTTCCTCTAACTTGCGTGATAAAGAGCAATTAAAATTACTTACTCTGTGAGTTCCTGCTGCTGCTGTCCTGCTCCACCTGCAAAAGCAAATGTATTTCGTAATAAGATAACAGGGAAAAGCTTGCAGTAAGTAATTGTAACAACACGAACACGGCCTTATTCAAAGCTTTCTGTTGTTGTTTACGCTTGCCTTTTCAGGTCAGTCACGGTTTGCCACTACTACCCTTCCTTTGCACAACGTCAAAAGAGATGAACTAACGGAATAAACATCCTCCTATTCTTGATGCACTGGCTTCGTAGGATGAGGATTTTTATTAAAATATGTACAGTTTCCTGCTTTCTTCGTCATTGGTTACCTTGTTTTAGCTACCGCGAGGCATTTTGACACCGACACACAGGGCGTGCACTCTAAACATGTGCAGTTCCTTTTGCAGTAATACTGGGTGTCCTTTAAAAAAACGTACACTTTTGTAGTTCGATATCTCCGGAACGGTAAGGCATAGGACAGTCGCATTTTAGGGGGATACTAAGGGGGTCATGGAATTTTATTTGAGACTGTTTTGCAAATTTAAAAAGGTATAATGAATGCAAGTAGATTCTTTGGAGTGAAGAGGCCATTTTGGAAATTCGATTGTTTCTCTAAATGGTCATTAGCCGTTGTCCCATGTTTTTCCTTTCAATGAATTATCAAGTATTACCCGAATTTTACCAAGACACTCCTCATTGAATATCCTGAATGCATTCATGTCTGCAAAACTATCCAAACGTTTATGAGAGGTAAAGGGTTCTTCCTTGAATGCACCAATATGCATCTAATGCAAGTATTAGCAGGTAAATAAATTAGTTTGGTTTAGACTAGGTTAGTTTTCAAATCTCCAATAAACGAGGTACGTTATGAGTTTCATGCAGATGTGTCAATCAGCAGCTATACAATTTTTTAGAGTTGTAATTTTCATAATATTCTCTCATAATATACAATGTTCGTAGTCGTAATATACCCGACTTTGTTAAGGGAATTGGATTCATGAGGAATTCTTATTTTAAAAAGTCACTATGCACATACTTCTTCTCATTATTTGGCCATCATAGAGGAACTAGGGGTTCTTCCCACTGTTATTAAATTCTTTGTAGAAATTTAAGGAAAGGCTGTTCGTGCAAAATGCCTTTCACATCGAGGTCCTGATGTAACATCAGGAATTGGAATAAACTTTGCCGTTCAAACTCGAAATGTAAATTAGATGTGTATCCCTTTCCTATCAATTCCTAATTTTCCTGGATAGGGTAGCAAAGGGAATCTCGGTGTTGAAGGATGAACTATGCTTACCGTTGCGAATAATTTGCTCACATTCCTTGTTTTGCTCCCCCAGGGATTCCAGTAACTTCTTCGCGAAAGTGGGTTCTTTCTCCTTCAGGCATTCCCATAATGCTCTGAAACCATCCAATCCTTTATTGGGTATTATTCGTACGAGGAATTCCGCTTGCTTCTCTGCTGGCTTTTCAATCTGCTCTTGGTAGTCGTTCGTTCCGATAACTTTCTTCAGTGTCAAGCACTCCAAGATTTGTTTAAGGTTGACATCTCGCTCAAATTTGCCTTTATAGGCAAGCATCACATGAGATATTGCCTCACGATAGGTGCCCATTACGTCTCGAGACTCTTGTCAGTGTGACGTGTGCCTGCAGTATAAAAGTTTTTTGCCTCGCGTAGAGTAATTATTTTGATCTTCGCGAAAATGATGTACACGGCTTGAAGGCGTGCATCGAGTGAAACTTGAGTATAAGAACAATAAAATAAATCGACTTTTGTGTTACAGAATGGACTCTCATCCATACTTACAGGAGGTCAAGGTAGTGTGTAAATACTTATATGCTGACGTTCTTCTGTGGTTGCAAAAAATCTATCCCCTTCCGAGCTGAGAATAGACGAGGAGGGGAGATATTGCCGTTGAGGTTTAGATTACGTCATCAAATGTCAGACAGGAACATGAGCCTGAGTTAGAAAGTTCCCGAACTCTCATTTTGTTTATATTAAAATATTATATATATATTTTTTCGTTTTACTAATGAAGCAACAAGCGTCCTCTCCTCATCGACCCTATCGACAACGTGCCTTTCCTTGTAAATATGCGCTTCCTAGCTGAAAACACAATGTCTTACCTGAGAGTAGGTATGAATGTCCTCCAGTTCCATCACACATTTATGAATATACGACTGCAAGAAGACACCAACGTTTTTTAGATAGGGGAAGGCTCGACTCTTATCGGGAGGAGGGGAGGTATAGCCGTTGAGGTTTGGATTACGTCATCAAATGTCAGACAGGAACATGAGCCTGAGTTAGAAAGTTCCCGAACTCTCATTTTGTTTATATTAAAATATTATATATATATATTTTTTCGTTTTACTAATGAAGCAACAAGCGTCCTCTCCTCATCGACCCTATCGACAACGTGCCTTTCCTTGTAAATATGCGCTTCCGAGGAAGTAACACCTATAATTGTGGTGCGCTGTTCAGCATGGTTGGAACCTCGACAGGTAGTCAGTCGATCACGTTCCTCACAAGAGATTCTTTGTTCCCGTTTATGAAACCATCAAAGAGCTGATACAAGGTCATTGTCATCATGAAACAGAAACAATCTGTTATCGTGGAATCCTTTCGATATGTCCATTCCAAACCGAAGGACGGAGGTTAAACCTATAGCGTGCGCGATCCTGACCGATAGCTAGGGCGAGCGACAATTGCGTGCTTGTGCGTGTGACCACAGACCAAACGCTTTAAGATATGAACGTGAGGTTTCAGCATGAATATTTTTATCATCTGATGCATTGCCTTAGCGAAATGAGATTTGCAAATCGGCCTCACGAAAGGAAAGGTAGGCAACTTTCCCGGAAAATCGCAGATTTATTCTTGTTTCACCATCTTCAGGATGGACGAGGAAACGAGAGTTGAAATAGTTCTCGAAAGGGAATGCCGGCATCACTCGCTGACGTGAATCCAAAGATTTCAAGCGTCCATGATGAAATACGAGCGATTCGTCAATTCGTCGCACACGGGCTCCGCAAACAAGTGTGTCAACTCAGTTTCCTTGTGAGGATCCATCTCTCAAAATCCAGAATTTCAGATTCGCAGAACAACGTGCTCTTCCGCCACAGCTTGCCTCACCTTGGGTCCTTTGAAAGCGCTCACGAACGACGCAAGGAAGCTGACGAGCGCGAGTTATTCAAAGGTTGTATTGTTATCCAGTATGCCGACCGGATACTTACATTTTTCATACGTGAAGATGCATAGCATCCACGGGCGTTTTCATCGAGAAATCATCCCACTTGTACGCACGATTCTACAAGGGAAAAGATGAACGACTCTCCAACAGGATGCTGGAGCACTTCGTTTTCAGCATGGAATCTTTGCACCCAAGAGCGTTAGGACGGATTTTGAGTAGGCTGCTCAGAATGCCCTGGAGCGCGTTTCCAGGTGTGTAATTTGCATATCCATCCCGCACAAAGCGTATGGAGAAAGATTCAAGACTCTGGCCTGACTCCCTGAATCCTGAATTCCGCATGCAAATGAAGTCGCTTCCAGCGGTCTGTTTCGTGCCACCAGCAAATGTTGAAGACGCATTCAAGGACTTTCTTGCCACCGTGCCAAACGCAGCACTGCTTGTGCTGAGCTACTTCAAGATAATTATATCGTACGAGCGGTGAGAGAAATTCGCCTGTTGGCAGCGCTGTTCGAAATAGGTCTCTGGAACAACTATGATCATGTCCTGCAGGACCTGCCACGTACGACAAACACCTTGGAAGGCTTCCATTCCAGTTTCCTAATTTTGACTGGCTACAACTCAACTTCCACACCTAGGGTAAACACCCCGGTTTCTGGCTGATCTCCAGTTGTTGGCCAGTGAGGCTTAAGTCCAGCATAATTAGTTAGTCTGGCCGTTTTCAAGCATTCTATCAACATCTTCCTTTACAAGGACCCATAACTAGTGTTTCCTGTTGTGCGTACAGGGTGTCCACTTCCTATGGAAGGAAGTATCAGCGTGGTCA